GCAGCAGCTCTCCCGCCCCGGTCCCCACGGCCCCTTACCTGCGCTCGCTCACAACGAACGTACGCGCGAGGAGTTGTGGAGGTGTTTCTGCATGGGGAGGGACTCTGATCCACGGGATCACGTCCACTGTCACGTCCCAGAAGCGTGGTGGCACTTCCCGGAGGTGCAGGACGCTCCACGGCACGGAGGGGAGAAGACCCACGGCAAGGCCGCACGCCAGAGCGGGCGTTGGTGCGGGGTGGCCTGCGGCTCCACCCCAGCTCGCTCCCTCTGCTCACGGTAACTCACGGCGGTGCGGCAGCAGCACACACCTCTAGTACGCCGTTGGGCAGACCCAGCCCTCACGGGCTTACTAGCACAGCTTTGCATTCCCAAAGCTTGCTCTGTCCAATGGAGTAATTTTGATTAATTTAAAAAAAAAAAAAAAAATATTATAAAAGCCTCTCCACGTTCTCCTTTGGAAAGACATAAATGAGAACAATCTGGAAGTTCATGCTGTATTTAGTAGCTCTGAAAATAATAAAAGCAATGGAAAAATGTAATCTATGCTAGCATGAATTACAACTTTTTGGGCAAAGTACTCTTTTGTACTCATGGGGAGGCAAAGTAAGTTACTGATACAAAAGTATGTCCCAAAATTATATCTATTAAGGCATCCAAAATGCAGTTATCACAGCTTGAACTATAATGCCTCTTCCCTCCCTCCCTCAAAAAGTATTACTTTTTTGGGGAATGCTTAGTTACCTTTTAAAAATGCTTTATAAATACAATGTTTTACATAAAGAATGCCATTTTAGGTAAATGGAAGGATTTTAATTTCTAAATTAAAGTGAAATCCACTTTTTTACCTTAAAACTGTTCGCTGTATGAAAATCGATTTGTGAATAATTTCAGTATATCCAAAATAACCATTTTCTTAAAAGAGTCTTTTGCAGAGAAACCATCTCACGGTTGTGGCAGGAACCTGTTTTCCAACAGGTTTGCATGACTGTAGTATTCAAACGTACAAATTTGCATTCTCTGCTGTTGTCACTGGACAATGGATACTGAAAAGTTTCACCATTATGGAAAGAAGTCCTGAAACACTTCTTGCTATACTAAAAAAAAAAAAAGCTAAAAACCTGCTTCTTGCTATACTAAATGGTGTATTACTATAATAGTAACTTGTGGTGATAGGTAATGACAAAAAATACCTTTATATTAAGCAAGCCACGGACAAAGGGAGGGGGAAGTCTCACAGGCTTGTGTTTCAAGCAAGACATGAAGTTATCCTCTTAAAAAGACAACTCCACCGAAAATCCTTAAAACATATAAAAAATGAAAAGCCCTCTATGCTTCTCATTCAGCAAATTGCTCACTGATAAGATACTCAAACAGCTGCAAATGAAAACCACAAAAGCAATTTCCAGCTAGGAAAGGACCCATCGGAGCTCCGGCTGATGCTAGCAGGTTCTGCCGGGCAATGCCTGCACTACGATGGAGGCCAGATTCCAGCTGGGAAGCCTGTCCGTATCTGCCCCACACGGACCATGTGGGAACTTCCAGCACTGCCAGTTCGAGATTGCCACTGAAGATTTCGCGTGACCAATCCACCTACACATTTCAATCCGTGTGTGGACACTCAGACCTCGGGATAAGCAAACGCTACACGCACTGCAATGCAGTTAATCCAGACTTGCAGAATTTTCTGTTCAATTTTGGCAGAGCTGTTACTAAAAAGGCAAACTGAAGAGTTCAGAAAAAAGATCAAATCATGTGAAGCTTGACGAGAGAACCAAAGCTACTAAGCTAGGTATGTGTAGTTTGCCCTAGAGAAAGGAAGCTGGAGAAATGCAAGTGTCAATGAAGAGCACAGACACAGAAAAAGCCCAGAACGGCATTTACAGATTCACACACAGAGACACGATCCACGGGTTATAAGCACCGTATAAAAAGGGAGCTGAAGGAGAACAGCAGGGAGCTTTCGAGGAGGAGGTTACTACTGATCTGCTGAACAATCTTTCACGTGGCATTAAGAATGACGAAGAGTTGGGCTGAATTAGGGCTCCCTGCGAGAAGCAGAACCACGGGGGAGGCGGGCGGTGGCGACGGGGACACTTCTCCTACCTGCACGCCAGCTGCCCGGGAAGGCTCACACCCTGCTCTCTACCGGCTCCTCTTTGGATGCACACGTGGAAGTAAACTTTCAAAAAACAGCAGGTCTATACAATTGTGCAAATTATATGAAGATAAACCTAGGTTAAGAGATTAGGAAAATTTCCTTTCCTCTGCCTCCCTGAATGACTGCTGCTGTACAAGAAGGGCACTGCTCTTGATTCACAAATTTGCCACTTTACAGCTTTTTAACTGCATGTTATCTAACGATCAAATGACTAACTTGCAGGAAAGAAAAGTTACTCCCAAACCAAACAGATGGGAAAGGCCACTTGATGACAAGTCCATACAATTTTTCACTTCTGGAAAAACTAGCAAAGCTAGAGCAAGAGATTCACCTTCTGTATTGGTTACAGTTAGCTAAGGAACAGAGACCAACGCTGAGAGTTAGCCAAGGAACTTACCACTAAGGAGTCAGTTTTCCCTAGACTCAGAACAGGGACTAGGCTGGTAACTGGTAATGTTTTATTAGTAGCTACCTTTATCTCCTATTTCAGCAGTTACGAACAGCTAAGGATTCAAACTATTTAAAAAATGTAACCATTACAGAATTTTCCTTTAACTAGTTTCTCTATCACATCTTAAAAGTGAACTAACAGAAGGGCTTAAGTCAAAGGGAGATGAGGTGTATGATTTTAATAAACATTTTTCTTATTAAAATCTTGATATAGTTTAAATATACCATACAGAGGAAAAAAGCTATTTATAAAGCTACATACACATTTCAAGTCAATGACAGCATAAATCATTCTAGATTCCCTCTCCACTTATCAGAATGCCTTGTGTGTGTATATATGGTGAGCTACTGTGAGTTATCTGCATAATTTTTGTCTAGCTATACATTACAGGACTTAAAAAATGTTTAAGCTATATACAGAAATATATATACATATAACATATATTTATATGTTATACATACACATACACTTATATACATATACACACAATACATATATATATATATATATACACACAGTACTTTACATTTATATATGGCCTTTCATCCAAGGGCCTTGGATACTTTTTAAATACATCAAGTCTCACAAAGCTTTGTGAGGGAGGGAGCTTTATTTTACAGACTGTAGACTGATGCCTATTCTAAACAGTTTCTTTTGTTGCTTTCTACTGACTTTACACATTTCAGTTAGAGGCGTTTTTGGTAATGGAAATAATTACATCAGTTAGAAATCCAGGCATAAGGTATATGTTGCTTTGTACCCTTGTAACTATCCTCCTTAGCACATGAGAACAGCCATACCAGTATAAATTTTCTCTATACTAATACACCTATATCTAGTCTTGTGTAGCTGTACTGCTTTTTATTTTTGATATTAGCATAGTAATATCTGATAGAGTTTGGAACTTAAGATACTGGAGGTCACAACAGGAAATGCAGAATGGACTTCAATCCTCATACACTGAAACTATCCTTTTCTAGGACGACTGGTTTAGAAAGTATTAGTACATGCAGAAATAATTCTACATCTGTTTGCTTGATTTACCTGCAGTTTAACCACACAAGCCTGAATCAGTCAGCCTTCTTTGGAAAACAGGATTTTCAGCATCAGTTTGGCAACTGGTGATCAGAATTTCTGATCTCAACTGGCCTATATACCTCTAGCAGCTAAATAAGTGATGAAAACACAGGCTTTTTTGAACACCACAGCTGTAGGTAACTTCTGGTCATCCTCAACTAGCTGACAGAATGGAAAACCCCGTGGAGCTCTGGCAAAGGTGAATTCCATTCGGATTTTGACAGAACGTTAGTTTAGCTCTTCCCGACAAAAGGAAGAAAAAAAAAAAAATCACTACCATGGACTCATGGGATTGGAGAAGCAAGAAAGAGGGAGAACCACAACAAAAGCTCTTTAACCTTCAATACTTCAGTCTGCTAAGCCTTCAGAAATTTGTTTTGACACAGAAAAAGTATCTCCTTCCTTTATTAATCACTTCCTAACTCTCAAAAATCCCTCAAGCATTAGGGAAAACAAGTCCTAGGTTATGGTCAAAGACTGCCCTCCCCAAAAGCGACCAACCACTTCAAAGTGAACATACAGTAGAACCCACTACAATGCAGTTTGAGAATTTTATTCTAACCTAATTACCCTGAGATTTTTCAGAACAAGCCACTTTCCCTTCAAACCAATTCTGTGAAAAGAAGGGGTTGCCTGGCCTGTTTCATTCAGGATTCTCTGCTAACTGTAAAATGTGGGCTGAACGTCTTCTGCAGGTCAATTTTTCAGTTACAAAATTCAGATTTTTCATGAACAACTATGTTTAGTGTATGCTGTTAGCTAAAGTATAAATGGCTAAATAAATAAAAACTATTGTTTCTTCAGTATGACTTCATATTTTGTCTGTAATTTCTTTATTAAAAAACTGTAACAAGATACTTAAAAAAAGGCTAGATACAAAAGAAGTTAAGCTGCTCACGAACATTAAAGTTTTCCAAAATGTATCTTCAATAATCATGATCTTATAAACATTTTACAGTTACCAGAAAGTGCCCAGGCTGAGTTTACATAGTTAGATAACGTAGTACAAGTGTCAGGTTAGAACTGGTAGTGGAACAATCTCCTGACTGTCTGTTCACTGAAACAGGGATACAAAAAAATGTTGATTGTGAACTATGAAATACTGTGCATTGGCCTCATCATATGTACAAAAAAAACCCAAACCAAAAAACCAAAAACCAAACCAAAAAACCACTAAAAGTACAGATTACATGCAAAATATTAGTGATGGTATCTGATGCACCGGAGTTCAATGCAATCAGAACAAAAATTGCAATGAAAGTGGTTTCATAAGTGAATGATCCCAACTCCAGGATCTGAGCTGTCAGGAACTTTTTACAAGTTCAATATACATGATACACAACTGCAGCCAACCACAAATTAAACACCATAAAAAAAAGTTAAAATAAAACACAGAACATACTTAATTTTTTATTTCGAAATTCCCTACTCCCTCTATACAAGAACCTTTGCTGAAACACTTTCCACAAAGGCAGCAGTGAATTTTCAGAACATTTTACATATTTTCCCTCAGCAAAAAGATAAATCACAGTGTAAATTATATTGTTCTGCTGTCATCTTTGGCTGGGGTTAGGCAAAGGAGTTATTGACTAGCAAACTGTTGCAATCAGATATTGCCAGTGCTCCTTAGGCCTTTACGTTACAAATTTAGTACAGGAATGTTTGCATTTAAATGTTTAAAGTACCACCAGGGGTATGACAGCATTAACTTTCATAAACTTTTATAGACAAATGGAAAAATCTACAAAACTTAGCTAGTAATATTACACAGCAATACACACTTTTTATACTCTACACAAAACCAAAATTCTTGGTCTTAATGGCGAGTAACAATTTCTGTTTCAAAATCTGCTTAGAGGAATAGAGTGGGACATAAAGGCGAGAAATGCAAGTGTTTGCTGTAGGAAGATGTTGGTCATCTGGTGGTCTTATTGTGATTGATGGCATAGGCTGGAATCCCTCCTCACTGGCAGGCAATGATGGACTTGAGGTCCAAAAGTAAACCTGAAAAAAGAAGACAGCATTTAAAATTTGGCTGTACAAGGCTAAAATTTACATTGCCCACAGGCTGTGTAGGGATAGGTTAAAGAAGTAGAGCACAGTCACAAGTCTGATCATACTATGTTCCGTTCAATAGCCAACTAAACTCAGTGGTCGTGCTACATGCTTCTGTAGTAGCTTCCTTCACTTCCTTTCCTCAGCTGCTCATTATATTACATACTTCTGTCAAAACGGATTAAAGCAGCACTCAAAACGATCCTGTATCAGCAAATCCTCAGGAAAAAAAAAGTCCCCAAATCCATCTGGGAAGATGGTGACTGCCATCAATACAAAATGCATCAAAAATCTCTCACACACTAGTCCGTGACTACAGAACACAGTACTAGTACGGACAAAAGGCAGCAACAGAGAATATTTGGTTTCTTTTCTCAAGCGTGAAATACTGACTTGCAGAGCAGAGTCACTACCAAAGTGTAACCACAGATACTCCTTAACAAATATGCTCTAGATTTTCCGCTTTTCAGATTAGTCCTTGTGCCCTTTTAGCAAACTGTAAAGGAAAGACAGTACCTGAAGTAGTGGAAAGCTAAAAGTAAATAGTTTTAAGAAGCTTACAATGAACACAATTTACAGCCAAGTTTTCCGAAATTAACCCCCCTGAACAGTATCTTGTTCTTTCATGCTTCTCATCAGCTATTTCTAAAGGGCTCTGAGAAGGAGACAGTATCATTACTGACAACTTACACAGAGGACACAGGTGTTGCTCTCAGGATACAGAGAATTCAGGAAAGTAGATGATCCAGGAAGAGAACTCAACCTCAAAACCCTACTAGCCCCCAATACAGTTGACTAAAGGCAGTTACTCAGCTTAAGAACCACTGTGCAGAGACTAACTGTGCTTCCATAACAGACCTGTGAATATCGACAAGGACATAGCACACTTAAACTTTCAGTTCCAAGAAGGTCTAGGATTCATACCTGATGTTTCCAGAACTGAAAGTCTAATCAAAGCCTACTTACACCCCTGCTCTGCTACCTTAACTCCTCATATACAAATTCTCCGCAGGCAGACACTGTTAAAAGCTGTAATGACGCCGAAGTTATTCCGGTTCTTCTGCATGTTTCCACTGGGAACAGACAACTTACTAGATCTTGTCTTTCTGTCATACTCATCTTCTCAACTATGGACCAAAACCAGCGCTTGAACTGCAAAAGCTTCTCAGCGTTTTCTCCTTTGTGAAATAAAAGAGATAAATAATTCAGCTGGTACACCGGACAATCAATACCAAGAGATCTGTTTTACAGGTACTGCAAGTGGGACCTCAGCTACAATCACATTCATAAAGCCCTGATATTTGAGACACTAGTAATTTCAAAACTAATACGCACACTTCTGAATGTAAAGGCTAACTCTGACATACCTCAGTACAATTCCCTCCCCCTCCCCTCCCAAAATGCCTAACAACAGTTAAATATAGTTTAAAAACTATGTAACAAATATTAGACTGCATCCACCACATTTATAGTTCTAAAGTTAGGTCACAACTTTCAGAAGGGAAGATATGCTACCTAATGCAATCCTTGAATTTAACATCAAGTGACAGCAAAATTGGAAAATGTGCTTTTCCCCCCTGTTAACTGAAGGTAAATATTTTCAAAGGTATGTAAAAACCACAGTAATAATTTCCTTAGGATTTTCAGTGGCTTATTAACTGGTGTCAAATTTGAAGAGGTAATTTAAGTTTAATGCTGGTTACTCTACTCCACACAGAACAGACAGCATTAAGTTATCCCTGTGCCTCTGTTTCTGAATGAGGAAGTTATTTCATACCTGACTCATCGTTGAAAGAGGTAAAGCTGATTAGCATTTGCACATTTACTTCACCACAGCCGTTTACCAAAAGTCTGAAATCTTCTGCTGTCAAATCTTCTAATGAATTCTTTGGAAGTACATCCAGGAGACCCTTCCTCATCGCCTTAAGTGAAAATCACAAGATTCACATTATAGCCATATCACTTTCAGATTGACTTTAAATGCATTACTGAAAAGTTCTGTGTGAAATCCCCTATTAACTCAAAATTCATTATTCTCCTAGCTGTTCTTTTTTTTTCAAAGCTTTACCATCTGACACGCAAATTTTTTGAAACAAAGAACTGCACCGATCTGCTAAACCCTACCTATAAGTGCAAAAGCAAGCAGTAATGTTTTGAACTAATATTTTTCACCAGGTGCAGAAGCAAATGCACTCTCTAATGCTAAAAAGTTCAGATATTTTGCTGAGCTATGCTGAATCTGATGAGAATTACAAAAAATGCATCTTGCATGTTACTTTTACTTCACTTCCTCAGACACTCACATACCAACACTGCTTTAAAAATGTCATACGCACACACGTATATATTTTATATAAATAAGTAATATCCTGATAAGATTGGAAATTCCATTTTCAAAATGAAAGAATATGAATAAATTTGTGTTAGTAAATTCCAAAATGAATACAAGTGTTATGGCTTTCAACTCTTAAAATAAACAAGAGCCAAATTACTAATATAGGCAGACATGGAGATCAAGTAGCTTAATGATGAGGGGATCGAGAGCAGCCCTGGGGAGAAGGACTTGGGGGTGCTGGTGGGTGAAAGACTGAAGATGAGCCAGCAAGGTGCGCTCACAGCCCGGAAAGCCAAAGGCATCCGGGGCTGCATCAAGAGAAGCGTGGCCAGCAGGTCGAGGGAGGGGATTCTGCCCCTCTACTCTGCTCTGGTGAGACCCCCCCTGCAGTGCTGTGTCCAGCTCTGGGACCCCCAGAACAAGAAAGACATGGACCAGCTCAAGCGGGTCCAGAGGAGGGTCACTAAGAAGATCAGGGGCTGGAGCACCTTCCCTATTAGGATGGGCTGAGAGAGTTGGGGATGTTCAGCCTGGAGAGGAGAAGGCTCCGGGGAGACCTTATAGCGGCCTTCCAGTGCTTAAACGGGGCCTGCAGGAAAGGTGGGGAGGGACTCTTGATCAGTGGGTGTGGTGATAGGATGAGGGGTAACAGTTTCAAACTGAAAGAGGGGAGATTTAGATTAGATACCAGGAAGAAATTCTTTCCTGTGAGGGTGGTGAGACACTGGAGCAGGTTGCCCAGAGAAGCTGTGGCTGGCCCCTCCCTGGCAGTGTTCAAGGCCAGGTTGGATGGGGGTTTGAGGCATCGGAAGGTGTCCCTGCCCATGGCAGCGGGGTTGGAACTAGATGGTCTTTAAGGACCTTTCCAACCCAAACCATTCTGTGATGCTATGAACTCCAGAACATGTTCTTTCCATGAGAATTTTGGACCTAAACTGCAGAGAGGTAATGTAGCAGTCTGCTAGTATATCTCCAAAGTGCAGCAGGAAACAACAGTCAGCAGAAATGACCAAGTTTAGATGTAGTATTGGGTGACATAGAGAAGTGGTTCTACATACTGAACCTTCATTAACTGTTTACAAAAATATAATATTCCATAACTTTTAAAATGAAAGGGCTTCAAAAACCAAATTATTTTTAATAGTTTTATAGTCAATTGCTAGGTTTCTTGCCAGGCTAGTAAAATAAGAAGAAAATTGTATGTTTCATAACTGATTTTTCCTTTTAAAACAAGGACAAAAGTCAGAAGTTCAAGGTGATTTACGTAAATATTTTGAAATTTCTTTTTAATCTTTGTTTAAACAGCTAAACAAATAAAAGGTAACAGATTATTAGAACCAAGTAGCTGCCAAATACAAAGCAAAAATTCCAAGACGAGACAGGCTATTTGAGCTCAAGAAATGAACATATACGCTTAACCAATGAGATCAAGTTTAAAAGAAATTATCTTTCATACTATAAAGAGAAACCGGTCAAAGTACTCAGTCTTCACAGTACTGCATAAACAGCTATACAATTACGAAAAAAATTAGACAATTAAATATTTTTAATCAAGCTTTCAAGACTTCAAAAAAAACCTGATTAGCAATACTATAATGAGGAAGAGAATTAACTGACTGAAATCCTCCAGACTTTTTTTTTTTTTTTTGGTTAAAAACACTCCACTGAAGACTTACATGTAGAGGCTGTTCTGCTACTACCAACATTCGGTGTTCTGCATATTTCCGGACATACTCATATACATTCTGAGGAGTGACTGGTATATTTACACCATTGGAAATGAGTTCAACCTATGGGAAAGTAACAAGGACCATTTAAAAAGAAAAAGAAAAAAGGAAATGAGATTATTACAACAGCCACAGTATGCTGCACAGTGATTTACTGCTTAATATCCCTCTAAAAACAAGCAAAATTTACTACTACAGGTTAGCTTTAAAGATTCCCTAGGATCGACTGTTCTATCCAGGCTTTATGGTAGGCTGTACATCACCTTCAAGGAAAAAAAGGCCACACTTCAATGCCTAAGGAAAATACTGTATATGATTCTAGGAAGAGTAAAACATTATCTCTGCCATCTTAGAAAAGCATGGATTATGTGTACACTACAACATGCATAAGCTGTCAAATTCTGAAACTACAGAGACACAAGTTGAGCTGTGCTTACCTGCCCTCCACCCTCCTCCTTACATAGGTCTATTGCAAAGGCCAAGTCCATTGCTGCAAACACTGCATCAGCATCTGTGCTCTGGGAAGCGAGGATAAGTTGCCGAAGGCTTTCATACATAACCGGATCGAAAAAAGCAAAGTCATGCCAGTTCACCTATTAAAAAAACCACAGATGTTTGGAACTAGATGTTTGAAACATACCAGTTGTTTAAGAATATATTCACAATTATGTGATCTGTGCCTAAGCTATGCACTAGCATACAGCAGTGCATAACCCACATAACGAAGCATACAAACACTTGAAATAAGGGCAGTCAAGCTCCCATTTTCAGCCTGCTTTTGAAGGTACATTAGAATACTCAACTGAAAAGCATTAGCAGAAGAACATAAAGATAGACCTGTAAAGCCTTTCCTGCTATTAAATGCATAGAGGTTATAAGAAAATTTACAGGGCTTTTAACAGAACTATTCTCCATATCACCCAGATCAACAGAGATTTGATGGAGGTTGACTGAAGCTGGAAGCAATTTGCATCAGTGCTCCAAAATGCTGAAAGTTCCCCTCCACTTAAACACCTACATACTGCTGCTACATACACACATTTAAGTCACTGATGGCCCAGTAGCTGCATACCAGTTTCCAACAATTCAAACCAATGTGTACTTCTTGCTGTTTTCTGTAGTTCCTTGTCTCTTTGTTCTTTATGAGCCTGGAGTGAAAAGTCATCTACTAACTAAACCAAACTAAACCTAACTAAAATATTCTTCTATATATCCAACATTTAACTGGAAGGAATACATACTGAAGAAGAAAAACCTGAAGAAAAAAACTAGAAGGGAATCTCTCCTGGAAGACATCACGGGGTATTTGGAGGCATATCATTCTGCCCTTAACCCTTTTTCATTAAAGATCGTATGTGTGTTTGATAACTGATTATGTGATTAACACTGTTTTTAAGGAAAGACCAGCAGTAACAAAACTCGGTTTAAGTTTGTTGCATCAGACAGAACTTACAATGCTATTGACTAATGCACGAAATGTACAGTACATAACTAGTGTTTACTGGGGTGGGGAAGCACTTCTGCCAAGAGTTTAGGTAATTATTGCTCTGAATTAAAATTATTCCTACCCTGAGAAAATTTTAATTACAATGCAATTCAACAAGTTCTCTCAAATATTGAGGAAAACCCTTTTCAGTAAGCAGAGATGCTACTGCCCAATACTGTCCAGCACAATCTCTTTGGGTCTTCAGTCTCATGAAGAGAAAAAGGGGAGACAGTAAGCTGCTTCTGAAGAGAGTCAAACTATTACAAGTCATTCCATCTTGGTCAAACACCTGACTTCTAGTACATTTACTGAGTTCAAAATCTAGGACATGAAAAAATTAACACTCCTTATAGCTCCAATATCAACTCTGCTAGTCATTACACACAGGTTAGGGAAATAAAAGCTGTTTTTAAAGGTGAGATTTTATTAAGTAAGGAAATACAATTTTTTATGTTCAACTTACCTTTCTGCCAAGAAGAACTTTGATTACATGTCTATTTAACGTGATGGGACATAGTTCATTCTGCAACAGGCACAGTCCTAGGATTCTGAAAATAAATGTTTGTGTTTTGTTCTGGTATGACAGAAATTACATTGGAGATCTTTCAGCAGATTCACATTAAAAAAGTGAAAATATGCTAAGACTCAAGCTGCAGCTAGCTTTCCAGCCCTATCAATTCCCAAAAGATAATCATGGGCATGTATTTATTTTAAAAAAAAAAAAAAATTCCTGCAGTATAAAACTTCCAGATTGTAAAAAAAAAAAAAAAAAAAAAAAGATTTAACAGGAAAAGAAACCTCAAGTTGACATGTGCAAATTCCCTACTATTTAGTTCCAGGTGAGAAATACAGAGCATAAACATAATGGATGCAGCTAGGACCATTGGTACTTTTCCCCGTATTTTGTATATTCATCTTTTACATTTTTTCAGACCAGAAAGGTAACAGAAGCATACCTGCCAATGTTTCTGAAACAATTCAGTCTTGCTTCTGTGTTTTTACCAGGTCTTGGTGTATAAAATCCTCGTTTTCCAGGTTGGTAGAAAAGTGGTGCATTATCATCCCCATCATCTGTATCATCTAATTCCATATCTACAACGCTGCGGCTGGAACCATGCCGCTTTCTGTTTTCCTGTTTTGAAAGTCAGAATAGCAATCAAACTAACATCTAGTTACTTACACACATCAACAAGCTATTTGCCACTAGACTCAAAGATTCAAGTTCCACTGGTGAAGAATTTCCATGGTATTTCCTAACAGTAACGTTTTACATTTTCAAGTAATTACTGCTTAATCTTTTCAAAAGAAAGGAAAAAAAAAAAAAAGGATAAACTCCACAAGATAATAAACAGAACTTTGTCTGTATGATAAAAGAAGGCTCCAGTTGCTTAAGTTTTTAAAATTAACTGATACAACCAGATGTTAAGTAAATTTAATTTCTGCAACAGTTCGTTACCTGCACTTTATCTGAAGAGTCTAGCAATCCGAGATCCAATATACTGTCAGCACCATTCTCCCTTGACAAAGGGGAAAAAAAAAAAAAAGAAGGATTTAATTTCACAATAAGGAATTGTCAGATTCTGAAACCAAACAGATTAGATTAAACCAAAGTCAACCAGTCACTTCTCCAAAGAAAAATATCTAGAACAAAGCAAGGAGTAAGTTAGGTGTAGCACAGCACAAGTGCTTTGTCCACAAATTCAGTTTTCATTTCTTATCTAAATACTTGACACTTTACCTGCCATGCGCAATAATGAGTTCCATTGCTTCATCGACTCTTGCTCTAAGGGAATCTTCACTAGCTAGTAACAGAAGCAGCTGAGCAGGGGACAATTCCAACAACATTCCTGTGATTTTACTTGCAAATGCCTGGGGATAAGGAATGAGATGTCTTACTGTTCTCCTCCAGTTCTCTCGTTTTCAAATATGGTTTATGAAAGTTTTAATATTTTAAATATACAATGCATTACAAGATACCTCCTAAGCTAAATGACAAATTTAGAAACAAAATCTTAAGAAAATGCCAAAGAATATAAAACCAGCCCTAGATGTTCCAGTATTTTCAGTTATGTTAAACAATAATGGACATGGAAATTAGTTTTTAAATTAAAAGATGACAAGAACCATGTATCTTTAAGTGTATTATGTAAGTCTTACTGGTTGCATTGCCTGCACTCGAGGGTAGAGCCTTTCCCCAAGGGCTTGTCTGTGTGCTGGAAGAGGGTCAGGGTCATCGCTAGGATTTCCTTCTGATGCTGGTCTAAAAGGCCGTGTGTCAATGGAAAGTTGTCTTCTAAAGTCCCTTAAGAAAAATCAGAGCAGTTTGTACTTTGTATTTCAGAGAAAATATGCAAAAATCCTCTGCAACAATATCATCTGCACACAGATTCAAAACAGCATTAGTTTTTATGCTGGAATAGTAGTGCGCTCATAGCTGCTTGGAGAGACTGGTCCAGAAACAGAGAATCAAAATGAGCCAGAGATTTTACTGCTACTATTATTTTGCATATAACAGTCGGACGCACCACCAACGGCAATGTTGTCTCTAAACCACCTCACAATTTTATTCTACTACACAAGTTTTTATTATTGTTTTAGCAGGAGAGATTGATGGCATATGGTTGAGACATAATCTACCAATGCTAAAGTAAGCATAATCATTCTTCAAAGAACTAAAGTTTATATTAAATTTCAAGAAATTACCCTGTAAATTGCTCCTGAGAGTGAAAAAGATTGACACCTTTAATTTGAGGAAGTGAAAGTATCTTCCCTGAAGATAACCAAGGCAATTACTCTATTTGACAAAGTATCTCCAACAAATCAAAAATACATCACTTACCTATCCCTATCTCTCCGAGAACCAGCTCGTAAGCCACTACTTCTCCGCATTTCTCTCTCTCGCTCCCTTTCCCGATCTCTCTCTCCCCTATTTCGCAATCTCTGCATCAGACCTGAAGGGGGAAAAAACCTCATAAGCTTAAACATCTTTATATTCCTCTCTCCTACCTATGTAAGGAGGACACAGTTTTGGAAGACAGCTTCAAAGACATCAATGAGACAGAAGCACTTCACTTAAAAGCAGTGACTGGGGTTCAGCCAAACTTAAGAAAGGAACCTGAAGTGTTTGTACCAACTTACAAATGCCAAAATACATCAAGAGTTTACACATACTTTCAAAAACATTAAAATTTTTTTGTGACAAGCCTGATGGAGCAGTCATACTAAAATATATAAGCTCTTACTAGCTAAAATCTTGAGCTTCTTCAGACTAATTATTATCTACTGGAAAAAGAGATGCTCAAAAAAAGCTGAGGGCATCTAAAGCAGACTCTTGTTTTGAGAAAAACAAAAGTTTCCTGTTTCTGAAAGCAGAAAAAAAAGCCATTTCCTTGCCTCAGAGAAGTAAAATGCACAATTTTCACAGCTCCTGTGCTGAGCTAACAAGAGAAATCTCTGAGACAATACCAAGTATTCCAATGTAAAAAAGTGTCCAAGGCTTTTATGAACGCTGTCTGTAGATTAACTGCTACGAATCACTTACTTGTATGGGTACCCTTGTTGGCATTCTGAATACAATCTAGATTTGGCAGTTTCTCGTTTGACAGAAAAGCCTGGGCAATAGCAGTATAAAAGCTTCGTGCTACACCGCTGCCTTCTCCTGGCTCATCCTTAAAAGTAACTTTTACTCTGTGTACGGCCATCGGAGTGGTAGCACACCTGCGACCAAAATGATTGTTGAGTTGCCTCATGGTCTGCTGAATTAGAAGATCTCTGTCTCGATCAACCTAGTAAAAATAAAAAAAAAGTTTTCTTTTGTTTACCAGTCATCATACCGAGAGAATTTCAGCTTCACAAGAATTTTCTGGACACTTCTGCACAGATTCAGAAAATACCAACTAGACTGTGAAAAACTATGGACTAACTGCAATAGAGTTCAGACAGTATGGTTTAAGACACCTGCTTGCAGACTCTGAAATACAACTTCCCCAATCAAGTTAGTGCAATGGGCAATAATTCAACTTTTAATGAAAACAAATTCAGAAGATAAACTAACATTTTTTACCTCCAACGTTAAATCCCTGGATTGCTGGTTTCTAAGTTTTTCCATCTCCCTGCGGAATTTTGACTCCTTTACTTCAAAGCCACCTAATTCAGTCAAGATCTTAAAATAAAAAACAAACAAAACAAAACCAACATCAGAACAAGGAAGGAGGTTCACAATTTAGTTGTAAGTGGAATTGTCCTTGCGCTGGGAAATACATACCGATCCAGGCTCTGCTCCAACATCTTCCATGAATACTCTACCGAACAACTCCAAAGAAAGGCGCCAACGTCCCAGCAACATGTCATGAGAGATGACCATGCCCATGAAGCTACACTGTGGCCTGACAGAAGGAGGGGGAAAAATGACAGACAAGCAAATCAAGTTAAATTTCAGACACATTTTGTGTACTTCTGCTTTTTCTTACCCTCTGCCTTCAAATAAGTTCTTTATTTCTGACAAACACCACCACAGTACAGTCAGTTTGTGGACAAAAGCACATGAAACTGCTTAGTTTCAGGTGAAAAACAAGTCCTGCCCCCAAAGAGAAATTACTCTTAAAGCATGTAACTTCACTGCTACATAGAATTTGCTGTTACTGGTCTCCCTTCAATCAAGACCTTGTTTTTTTTTAAAAAGCTGTGATGCAAAGTACGAGCAGTTCAATCCCTAACTGCATAAAGTGCGGTCAGTATCACGAGACACAGAGGGCAAGCTCTTAATTCCCATTTTTAAACTTAGCTACCCAGGACATCACAGTAGGTGTGCAGCAGGATGTCAGGTAGTAAAGGACTTTTACTACAGTTTGCACGGACCTCTTTGAAGACTGTTCAACTGTTCCTTCTAAAAGCTATCAAATACAAACTACAAATTCAAACTAAAGTAAGCTACCCATTTTAATTTAAAAAGACTTTTCAGAGTCCCAAATATCCTTTTCTCATTTCAGTAATATTTCATAGAGTAATTTTTAACTCAAACTACCTGAAAGATGTGAGAGGTGGTCCTTCACTTTCTGTCAATCCTATCTCTGCCAACAAGCTGCTTTTCAGTTGTGCTGCAAGATCATGAGCTGAAGGCCCCGGCTTTGAACTCTCAGATTCTTCTGTAGGCACGTTTTGTTCCTCCCCTTCCTTCTTTTGCCGATTCTGCATGCTCATAACATTTTTTAAATTGGCTGCATAAGACATTTTAGTTGGAAGAACCTAAACAAGGAGAATTAAAATTTAATTGTACTTTCAAAGCAGTCTAGAAGGCTTTCTCCGATATATATATTTGTAAAATTTTTAAACCACATAAAAGCAAGCACTGTAATTGACCTGTTAGAACACAACAACCTCAATGATTTCAACAAATATGAAAAAACATTTTCCCACTTTATATTTGCATTTCATATGCTTGCCATGGAATACTCAGTCGGTAGGCACGTCAAATCTACTGGGCTATAGGGAGATTTAACTATTTTTATCACAAATAATTATATAATTGGCATATCAACATTAACTCGGGATTGTACTGCAGCCTTTAAAAATATTGTCTGAAATCTGCTATAAATCAGTAATCATAAAAGTTCCTACATTTAAAAAAAATTAAGCAAACTTTTCGTAAAAAGTTCAAGTTTTCACATTCACTGGGCTTTTATCACTCTGAAAGCTACTTAAAATTCTCGCTGAAAATATTACAGTATCTTTCTAAGGAATGAAGGAACTAGCTTAAATTACCCTATTGTTTAAAATAACAAACCCTTTAAAAATACCTCAAGGCAGTTTCTATCCACTGTAACTTCCATTAAGCATTTCCCACTGTTGGCAGAAGACGAATACAGACCCTGACTTGGTCGGCCGAACAGATCTTCTTTGCGAGCATTTGGCTGAAAAGTAACAAAAGCATTCTGGGTAAATAATATACTTCAGTTAGAAATTAAAAATCAAATTGCAGTTTTCTTCTAGAACACCATCTCTGATGTCACCTGTAACAGATGGGGCTGGTCTGCCAGGGGGATGGCCTCTGCCAGAGGAACCTCAAAAGGATTGGGTGGAATGCAGCCGAGGAACGTCATAGAGTCTGATCGTCTGAAAAATGGATGGTTTTGGCCAGTCTCTGCTGGGAGGGAGTCATCATCTTTGTCATTGAGCGTAGCACCTAAATATCAGACAAGACTTCTCTTCAATTTTCACAGTTATAAAAGCAAAGGATTTAAAATCCCCAAAATTAACACGCTTCACTCTTTGCTGACTAGAGGAGCATCTCTGCAATTTTAATACTTCTACAGGATGCTTCCACAAATCTCATATTTGTATTAAATTGCTTAGTCATCACTTTTATTCTTTTTACTCTAACTAACTTTACTGAACAGGCACTCCTACACCATACATACTCAGCATAGACTATACTTTCTACCATTTTCAGCAGCAGTTTCATCAGATCAAAAAAACTGGTTTAACTCTGATTCAAATTTTAAATTCTGTCACTGTGTAGAATGCTAAGGGCACAAATTCTGTACTTTTGAGAGAATGGAGACAAAAAGAGGGCCCCAAAATGAGAACAGGCAACGGCAGAAGAAATTTGGTAAAGTAACAACGGTAAGAAAATCTTACTAAGACCCAGCTTTAAGGTAATATATACAAGTAGCAAAACTTATTCAAAGCCTCAGCTTCCTAATGGGGAAAAAAACACCAAGGGAGTGTTGCATTTTGGCATGCTATAGAAGTGTTTCTGTATACTAACTCTGATTGGTATCATCATCATTTTCATGTTCTGAATCTTCGTTGTCAAGACCCAGTTCCAAAAGTTCCCGAGTTCTTAGAAAAAAAAGAAAAAAGAAGAGTCAATCCTCTTGAAGAAAACATTAGGCAAAACATTTACATCTGTAGCAATCAATAAAAGCAAGAGCATAATCAGTAAGTGCACTTGAGAGCTATAAATAACACGAACAAACTCACTCTAAGATCACAGTACTGTAGAGTACTTCTCATTCCATACTTGCTCACTACATTTCTTGGAGTTACCCTTATAGCCCTTTGGCCACCTACCTATTTTTTTGTAAACAGTTACAGCCTCAGACAGTGATGGGTATGCTTGTTTTTAAAGATTATGTCAATATAAAAAATGTAGGAACCCTGCATTAGTGGAAGAAATAGGTAAGTGAATATTACTCTAAAATTTACTGGTGTAGAATGTGCTTAGTCCTATAACAATAATGTCACTGATCACATTTCAGAAGGTAAGGCTGCAAGCTGCATATTAAAGAAACTGATTTCACTGTACTATAAAAAGGACCAGGAACTTTGATTCACATTCATTTCTGGCAGTTTGTGCATTGTGAAATATGTTCTGAAACTAGATGAAGACTGGTAAAATTTCGTTTCACACAGGCTACTAAAATATCATCAGACAGAAGCAACTGACTGTTTGAATCTGAAACACTCCTCTTTAATTGAAAAGGTCTAGGCCTTCATAGTTTCATAGGCATTTCAAAGCAAGTTTGCAATTCTTTGATGAACAGTTATTTGACAGATTTCAACATGTGATTTTCTGGGGACAAAGCAGATTCCAGAAGTATGTTATTGCCTGGAAAAGGCTTAAAGCCACAGCTCTAACTACTCAAATCAGCCAGCACAAAAACTCAATCAGTTACTGTATTAAATCATCTGTGCTTGTGAGGAAACTACTGTTGATCACAACATCCTCTGGTATACGTTTTGAGGCCAAAACAACTACATTTGTAGAGAAAAGGGAAAGTTAAGTTTGACCTGTGATACTGAGAATTAGGGGCAGGAAGGGGCAAAGATTTGCATTTATTTAACTGCTGACTAGGACTGTTCAGGTACATTACCTCAAAACTTAGTAAGAAATGGGAACAGATGGTGTATAGACTACCAGTAGGTGGACATTTCTATGCTCATTAATTGCTATTTCAAATCAAAGAACATTTCTAATAAAAAAAATAATCTTACAATACTTCAAAAAGTAATAAATGCACCTTGTAAAATGCTATAGTTGAAGTAGCAGGACTCTCAACTTAAGGACATTTTTGGCTATCGATTTCCCTACTGTACTTTAAATCATCACTAAGTCTCAAATATCCACAACCAAATGGAATTCAGAACTACTAAGCCCATCATACCAGACATTTTCTCCCATGTCATTCTTACCATGTTTGACAGAATTCTAAATAAGTTATCATGTTAAATGTGAGAAGCAGATTGCATTTTTCAGCTAAGAAATTGTCATGAGTACACCTTTTAGAGGCACCGCCATGCCACTAAAAATCAAACTCACGTTTCAGTAGTAAGAAAACCTTTTACAGCAATCAGCCTAAAAAAGATTTGAAGGGGATACTGCAACAGGCTTATCAATCAAACACGTTCACATTATGTATCATTATATATATTCTTTTTACAATATGCATGTTACTTCATGCACAGATACACAGATATATAGATAGATGTATATATTTATATGAGTTGCTGAGTAACACCAATGGGCATACACCACTTCTGCAGAAGTTTTTGTTTCTATGAGTCAGCCTTGATACCTTTTCCGTTCCAGCTGAGGAGTATCCAGTGTTGTCTGTTGATTCATTGCTTTAATCCAATAAATAAGGGCTTGAAAAACGTACGCTACGTGCTTTAGTGAACAGACATCTAGAACAGGAAGAACATCTGAGTGCTCATCATTGTGAGACCGCATCAAAGACAGTGCGTAGTTCAGGAAATCACCACGTGCTGACATCATTCCCTGACGGGCACTGAGTAAAGTAGCACGTCTAGCGAAAGAAAAGGACGGATTAGGCATCACAGTAGAATGCAACCTGTAAATATTAGTCTCTATATTTGAAATATGGATGTAAAAACTCAGAAAAGCCCCCCAAAATAGTGTGATAATGACAGTAACAACTATTTTATGCTTTACTATAAGCAGCTGAGGTGCAGTATATTATAAACAGTCAATACTCAAGAGACTAATCTAGTATGTCAGAATAAACCAACTAGTAACAACAACACAAGAATTCAACTTAAATCAAAACAGTTACTACACTGCTGCATTACAAAATTAGATTCCTAAAATGTCACTGAACAAGAAGATTCAACTGTAAAACTGGTAATTCATATTGCATGCAGTAATCAAAGTATTTTCATACCTTCTTCCCTCAAGTGTTCTTAAGCTAGCTTCCTCACGGGCTGTCATCCTTTCCCTTCTGGCTGAGTTCTGAGAAGCATGGAGAGGATGATTTGGATGTCCAGGATCACCAGCAGATGCTAATGCAGAACCATAACGCAGCTGAGCTTCAGTGGAGTCCATGATACTAACCATCCAATTCCAAGTAGGAATAAGCTTTTCTTCTACATAATTCTATAGAAAGTGAGATTTAATGAGTTTGCAAACAATAGAACTAGATGATGGGAATGCAATCTCAACATAAGCCTCCACCATGGCTGTTACAGTTACACCTGATTCCTTACAAACACAGAGGCTGTAAAAACCCGCTGAAGAATGACCCATGAACAGTTTCTGAAAGCTCTGTTGAGACTGCTGGTTTGCTGTAGTGCTATGCAGCTCCCATCACTTAACACCTTGGTCTCTGTAAAGCATTCTCACCATCCCTGCCTCTCCCTTTTGGGCATCTCTTCTACTCCTCACCTTATGACCACCCAGCATCTCCCAAGTGCACACATCTTGGGGATTTTGCTCTAATTCCTGACTTTCTAGTAGCTTTAACAGCCCTCATCCTGCTATGGCATTCACCAGCCAGATCTGTCACCATCCTTCACCCCTTGCAACTTAGGGAGAACAACAAAGTTAAGACCTGCATAGAGTACTTATTGTCTCCTCCTGGTCCAGTCTTTTCTTCAGTATTTGTTTCCAATACCGGCCCTGGAGCCTGCTTTTCTTGCCCTCTGCTAACTTCACTGACCTGTTGCGGTTTTTTAGTCAACATCAGTCTGCTTTCTTCATTCCTCTGCATTCTGGTGTTCAAAAACATCCCTCACACTTCAAATGTTCTTGTATCCACTAAACTAACAAAATGCTCTCTCAACCCCATATTCAAATGAAACCTCTGCTGTCAAGCTTTCACATGCTAATACAAATCTCCTGCTGCCTCAGCTGGACAGTTCTCCTGTGCACTCTTCTGACAAAAAGGTAACCTTTGCAAAACACCTCTACTCAGCAGAGACAGTATTCTCCCAATAAGAATCTTCTGAATAGAAACTGATTTTAGCGTCCTCCACAATAAAACTATGTTCTCTTATTTCTTTCCCTGCATGTTTCCCCCAGCATTTGATCCGAGAATGTCTTTGTAACATTCCTCTCCCAAACCAGAAGCCTTTTTTCTTCCATCACACTGTGAAAATAGTGCCATAGTTTGTGGCTCAATTACAAGTAAATATATTGTCATCTGGTCTTCACATCCCAGCACACAATACTACTAACAGAAAATAGCATCACTTGATTTCTTGGGATCCTCAAACCAGCAATATTATTCTGACAGTTGATTTTTGTACTAAATTCAGTACAGACGATTTCACTCTACACACTATGCCCACATGCAAGTTGATACATACTTTCTGAACACGCTGAAATTCCTCCTGTGTTTCTAGTCTCTGAAACTTCTTTCTATACATGCCAGATACCAGTCTTCCCTTCCACGTATTTTCTCTAAAGATGTATTTTACATATACTTTCAAAATACTGACAGTCAAAAGCCCTGTACCAAAAAATACGCATATAAAAGGGAAAGGATGATCATGTCCCTGGAAAGAGGGGACAGCGAACAGTACATTTACCTGTACAGAACTTTCATCTCATTTAATTATTTGGCCCTTACTAACTTTCTTCTTTTATAGATGCAACAGTTCATGTCAAAAGAATTGGGCAAAAGATCTCTAGCAGAGATCACCAGTATCTCCAAAGCAGTCAATCCTAACTTAACTATTAACTAGTTGATTCCAGTCAGCCTTAGTTGGGGGGGAAAAAAAAAAAAAAAAAAAATCAACTGAAACTCCTTTTTTGAAAGAATCCATGTATATGAAATATGAACAATTTAATGGAATTAGTAACTACAGCTACTTCAGGCTACACTGTCTCTCATATGAGGAGAGGATGAGAGAGCTGGGACAGTTTAGACTCAAGAAACAAACTCAGGAGGACCTTATCAGTGTGTATAAATACCTGATAAGAAGGTATAAAACATACAGAGTCAGACTCTTCTCAGTGACATCCAGTGAACAGACAAGAAGCAATAGGCACAAACTGAAATACTTGGAAAGCCCATTTAAATTCAAGAAAAAGCTTTTTTACTGTGAGAGATGTCAAACACTTATCAGGTTGCCCAGAGCAGCTGCGGAGTCTCCATCCTTGGAGATAATTCAAAACCTACACTGGACACAGTCCTGAGCAGCTTTCTCCTGTCGACCCCGCAGGGAATTTGGACTAGACAATCTTCAGAGGTCACTTTCAACGTCAACAATTCTATGATTTTGCCTAAAGAACCCAACTGTATTGAAATTATGTTTCTCTACAGAGATTTGGATGTTCTTACCTGCAAGTTAACTGCATCTTGATAAGTCAGCTTCACTGCAGCTGGGATCTGAGAGTATACTAAATGATTGTACTTGGGAATCAGACCCATCAGATCAGATATCTGCCGTATCACAATACTGTATGCTCTTGCTAAACTGCTTGCAGATGTTAAATAGCTGCTTGCATTACTGGCTTCAAGGGCTGCAGCTGGCGCTGCAGGGGCTG